TGTTTGTCGTGTTTGTCTCTTTGTGTCCCTGACCATGATGGACTAGAGACCTGTCCAGGCTGTCCCCTGCTTCTCACACAGTGATGACTGGATATGGGCACCAGTGACCCCCATGACCCAAAAAAGAAGAAGGTAAAGATAATGGATGGATGGATGAATTCATATATTGCGCATCGCCATCAGGTATCACCACAAAAAAATTTTGTCTCAATAGCTTTTAAAATAACCAAGTTATCATATGTTTTCCCATTTAGCTATGGTGGCCATCTTGTATGCTTAATTTGCATCAGGAACATGTAACAACTCGCTATGACCACACCAAATATCAGCTCAATATCTCAAAGAATGACTGAGTTATAGTCAATTTTGAGTTTTCTGAGTTAGCTGTGGCAGCCATCTTCAATCAAAATGGCTCCAAAAATTAATCAGTGTTTTGTTTAGAGACCTCTCCACTCTAGGTCATGAATAATTGCACAACTTCCATCAAAGCTGCAAAATGTAACTATTTCTTATCTCAGACCTCCAAAAATCTAAATGACCCTAACAGATTCTGGAAAACCATCAAATCTCTCTCAGGCAGACCCCAATCATCTGACCTCCCATCACAACTTCTCATTAACTCTGTTCCTGTGTCAAATCTGGTTTCAGAAAACAACACAGCACAACGACTGCTTCACTGAAGGTTTTTAACAACATTGTTGAAGCATTTAAGCTTCACATGGAAAATCTAGTAAAGAAACTGAAAGTTAAACTGGGTTTCTTTTTCAGAAACAGATCCTGTCTAACTCTTAATGCTAGGAAACACCTTGTATCTGTGACTTTCCTTCCCTCCATTGATTACGGTGACATTATTTACATGAACGCTCCTACAAGAACCCTGCAGATGTTGGATGCTGTCAATAATTAGTAATGATCATTAGTAATTCTAGAATTGCGCCGCTCAAGGTGGCTGCATGTTGGAGCAGCTCTGTCACATTCATTCTGAGATTTTGCTTTTGGAAACTTTAATTCCTGTTTTTCTGGATGGAAATTGCTTTTTTCAGATGATTGTTTCCTCTGGTATCAGATGCTGTGCAGCTGGAAGGATTTTTACTGAAAACTTTTTACTTTGGGGCATTTGTTATGATGCATAACCATGGCAACAAGGTGTTTTTTTTAAACAACCTGTAGCAGCTGATTAACATCACAAAAGCTCAAATACCTCAACTACAGCCCCAAATCCCATTTGAATTGCGTGCCGTGGACAAATTCCCGTCAACCTGGCGGCCATGCTCGAGTACCTGACCACCGAGAGTCTGGAGTTGGTGAGAAACTCTGCTTGTGACTACGGGAGGACCGGGATCATCCCCCAGTGTCTTCAGCTGTCTGTCAGTGGTGACGAGGAGCTCGGCAGACTGCTGGAAGAGTGGTCATCGCTCAGGGAGGAACTCTGCCCAGCATTCAGGCAGTTCTGCTGCCCAGGTGGACCGAGAGGTCTGCCGGATCTGACAGCACACTGGGTCCAGGTGGACAGATCGGTATCTGTGGCCAGATTCTTCACTGCAGGAGATCCTTCCTGCCCACAGCTATCAGCATCTATAACAACTCCTGAATGAAACCAGGATGATGAGCTACAACAACACTTAATTTCCCTTTGGGATTAATAAAGTATTTTTGAATTTGAATTTGAATCATGGTGCATTAAGATTCATAACTGGTTGTAACTACTGTACCCACCACTGCACCCTGTATTCACTGGTTAACTGGACATCATTAACTTCATGCAGACTCTCTCACTGGTACATTTTCATCTTTAAATCACTTCTTGGTCTGCTGCCTTCATACATCTCCTCCTACATGTCTCTGTGTGAGTGCAGCTACAGCGTGCGCTCTCAGGACATTATTACCTGCAGTGTTCCCTCAGTGAGGACTGAACTTGGCAAAAGGGTCTTCTCCTACTCCGCTCCTGTTTCCTGGAATATCTTGTAAAAAGATCTGAAGCTCTCGACCTTGACTTCTCTAAGTGGCTTCAAACGTCTGTTAAGTTCATGGCAAGAACCAACGCAGACATGTTCCTGTTTTTAGTTTTCTACATCGCCTTATAATCTAGCTGTTTTTCTTTTCTTTTCTTTTCGCTACTTTTCCTCTTGACTGTCCTTTTGGTTGTTATTTTGTTTAGATTTGTAAAAAAATAAATAAATAAAATTTAAATTTGTATGCCTCTTTTGTGACTGTCTATTGTTGTTGTTGTTGTCCACTGTTGTCATCATTCTTTGTTAAGAAACCAGTCTCTCTTGTAAATGAGTCCCCGAGGCTCAATGGGATTAACCTGTATAAATAAAGGTTGAATGAATGTGACTTCACTGTGGCAGTGAGAAGCTGTTCAGAGATCAGGGTCTTTCAATGAGAAAAATGGCATCTTTGTTTACAAATCACGTTGCCATGGTAACTCAAAACCCCAATGAAAGTAATAGCACACATCATGGTGCTGAGCCGGTCGTTTTGATGTAACATTTGTGGGGTAGACATTGCGGTTCGTGCTGTATTAAAGTTGAAGGAAGAGTAAAACCCTGTGCAGGTGGATAATAACAGGTGGCTGCCTTCAGGCACGCTTAATAAAATCTGAGTAAAGCAGTCGAAGAGAACAGACGAGGAGAAACAGCAGCCGGTCTGTGGAACTGATCTGAGTGTTCCTGACACATCGATGAGGACGAGACAGACGGAGACACAGACCTCGCACACATTCACAGCAGGAATGAGACCAAACACGACCTGCAGAACGCTGAGCCTCGTTTTATCTTCAGGTTTTTCTGACTAAGGGATTCTTCTTAAAGTCTGTGCTCCTCCTGAGTTCCTCCTCCTGTCACTCGTGTTGTCTCGGCAGCAGCAGGTTGTCTCCATGGATTCACGCCGATGAAACTGAGTGACCATCTGCAGCCTCACATTCCCAACACCCCCCTGTTCTCGCTGCACATGTTTCTGTTCTTCTGTTCAGAGTCGGGCTTGATAAAAACGTGACGTCTGACATTTGAGCCCCGAGGAAAGAAACGTAGGCGTTTGAACAGAAACCCCTTAAAGACTTCTCAGCTCACAGGGCAGGATTCTTCCAGAGACATGGGATCAAACAGCTTCATCACAAGGTGAAGGACGTGGATCATACAGAGACCTGTTCCCCAACAAGGAGCTGGACCTACAACACGTCACACACTTTGATTTCAACTTCAAACCATTCTTTCATTCAGGACTGCCACCTGTTACTATCCACCTGAAAACGGTCTTGCTCTTATATCAACTTTAATGTGGCCCGAACTGCAACATGAACCCCCACAAATGTTATATCATAACTATTACTCATATTGTCATTTTGAGTTACCATGGCAACACAATTTTTAAACAAACATGCCATTTTTCTCATTGAAAAACACTGACAGATCTCTGAACAGCCTCTAACTGCAACAATGAGGTCACATGACGTAGACAGACGAGGTCTCTGAACAAACACTGATTAACTTTTGGAGCCATTTTGGTTCAAGATGGCTGCCACAGCTAACTCAGAAAACTCAAAATTGACTATAACTCTGTCATTCTTTGAGATACTGAGCTAAAATTTGGTGTGGTCGTAGCTGAGAGCGAACCCCAACACAAAGTACTGTCAAAACAAAATTTTTAAATGGCCACTACGTGGCAGTCCCTGTCAAAGTTTCTCCAGAAACTTTCTAGTTTAAATTTAGGTCCAACTTTTTCATCACTCACGTCCATTAAGTGAAATTAGATGTTTTTGTAACAGAGAACACTTTTCACAGCAGATTGTTTGAATTGACATCCATCCATCCATCCATCCATCCATCCATCCATCCATCCATCCATCCTCTTAACCCGCTTCTTCCTTTATGGGTCATGGAGTTCACTGGTGTCCATGTCCAGTCATCACTGTGTGAGAGGTGGGGGACGCCCTGGACAGGTCTCCAGTCCATCACAGGGACACATAGAGACAAACG